AAATCAGAATGTAAATTATAATGAAGCATTTGTAAATCCCCAAGGGGACACCTATGGGCAAGAGGTTAATGCCCATGTAAACAGATGAATTTGAGCCTTATGGCTGAAGGGCTGGTCAGAGCACAGACAGGACACACAAGCAACAAATGGATGCAGTTGTGTCTAATATGAATCTTTGTAATTTACTACATTGTGTGTTGAAACGGACTTAAGTTAATGCACCCAGGTGAAATCCAGAACATTTTCTGAATTTTGGTACTTGCCATGTTTTGTGTGAACCACAAAAGTGGACCATCATTCTTAACAATCATTTTTATTGTTACTCCCGTCTCATGAGAAGCCCAGCACACAAGAGGTTGAGACTTGGGTGAAGAACTCATGGGACCGAATCACTGTGTTGCCAGGGCACTCTGAATGAGCAACAAGGACAAGAAGTGCTTATTTAAGGAGCATTCTGTTGCTGGAAGGAAAAAAATGCAGCCATTTGACTACAGGAGATGGAAGTGCAAGAAATTCAGGTCAGAATTTGGTGCTTGGAGCATTATGATGATGTTCCAGAAGAAGATGACAGACTGCATTTGAATAAATGGAGATTTTTGTGAATGAAAAAAAAAAAGCCCCCAAAACTAAGCCCTATTACATCTTTTTTTCCCTCCACCCCATTGCCTCTTTTGGAGCAAAAATTAATTTGAGACCTAGTCTGATTTTCAGAGAAATACATTAGTGTGGCAACAATGGTCACATACTCTGACTCTGTAGATTCCAGTGCAAGTTCCATTACTTCCTACAGAACCTTTACTCTGAAACTGTCTCACTGCTATTTGTTTCTCAATAAAATATAAAAAAAGAACCTTTACTTCAGGCTCCTTATCTGTAAAATGTCAATATTACATTTTAGAACTAAATGAGTTAATATAGAGAAAGTGATCAGAATAGTGCCTGTTTTCAAATATTATTTGTATTTTCTACATCTTCTCTCTTAAGCTTTCTATTTTGGGGGCATGCCTTTAATGTAGTAGTCAACAAACTAAGTTACAATTAGTATATGTGAGTAGCTCATTATACTTTAATGTAGGTTTTGCCAGACCAAGTCCATTGACCATACAGTCCTGGAGTTAAGAATGGCTTTTTCATTTTTATTTTTATGAATTTAGGACAGGGTCTACAGGGTCTATATGGTCTTACTGTGTAGATCAGACTTGTAGTGATCCTCCTTTTTTCAGATTTCCAAGTGCTGGGATTACAGGTGCACACCACCATGTCCAGTCTCAATGCTGTCTCAGTGTGCCCAGGAGGTGAGGCTGGCATGGCATCCCGGGGATTGAACCCTGGCCGCTGTGTTCTGCCTAAGCAGGTGCTTTAGTCCACTGAGCTATCTGGCCAGCCCTGGCTTTTCATTTTTCATTTTTTTTTAAAGAAAGAAGGGAAAAGCAACACAGAAACCTCACAAATCCTAAAATATTACCATTTAGTCCTTCATAGAAAAGGTTTGTCACCACTGGCTTAATAGTTTCCTCTTGCAAATACATTTACATTTGCAATTTAAAATGACCATTGTATAAGTAAAAAGGAATAAATCTTTAAGGTGGACTTTTAAAACTTACAGTAATAGGAATGGAGCTAGTTCTGAACAAGGAAGATTTTACTTTATCTTGTGAATACTTGCTTCCCAATTCTGTAGCGAGATCAATCTTTCTTCCCATGATTAGGGATCACTTCATGGAAATGGATTAACAGTATGGTACTGCAGGGTCAAACTGTCCTGAAGTAATTAAATTCATGAGGCTGAGAGTGATCTTAAAGTATCACAGATAGGGGGCCTGCCCCTTAGCTCAGTTCTTTAAGTGGATGCTTCAACAAAGCATTCAGGCTCAGGTTGCTGTGGTTCGATCCCCACAACGCAAGCCAGCCAAACATGCCCTGAAGGCATTTGGAGCAAAAACAAACAAACAAACAAAAGTATCATAGATAGCTAAACTAGATGGAGATTACTATGCATGCCAGGCATCACCTGCAATCCAGCACTCAGTGCTCAGGAGGATGAAGATTGCTTCCAGATCTAAGCCAGCCTTGGCTACATAGTGAATTCCAGGCCAGCCTGGACTAAATCATGAGATCCTAGCTAAAAAAAAAAAGAAAAAGAAAAAAGAAAGAAAAGAAAAAATTAGAGAGGAATTGAGCCTTCAATGAAATCAGCATGAAAGAGGGACATCAAAATTGCAGATGGAGGCAAATCTGAAGAGATCTAGGCCTCAAGATGGAGATGCAAGAGCCAGGCCTTCGACCCTCCTTAGAGATAAACAGCATGCTGAGATCATGCTGTAACTAGCACTACCTGGTCCAGTGAGCCTGGATAGGTGTTACATGCAAGGTAGGCAATCACAACCTCTGGATCCATACTCCCTGTTCCAGGAACACCTCTGTTCTTTCCATGTATTCTTGCTGCGTGACCCATTTTGCCATTGGATTAACATTAGCTAAGTATAGTTTGACTCATGCTGTACCCACACGGTGATTGTGCGGCATGAACGACCCTTGACAAAGAGCCTCAGCCCTGACCCACACGGGACCCCACCTGGAAATCCAGATCTTCTTCTAAGATTGAAAAACTGTCCTGACCTTATTTGGTTCAGTACTTCATCCCTAAATGTGAGATTATAACTTGGAATATCCAACATCTAACAAGTTGGGAGTTACTTTCGCATCACAAAACCATTACACTGTTTTTTTTTTTTTTTTTTTTTTTTTTTTTTTTTTTTTTTTTTTTTTTTTTTGCCAATGTTCTCTGCTGATGTTGGAATCCTGCTTCTGTGATTCAGGATCACATCACGTCTGGTGTCAGCAACTGGTCTCTTTTGCCACAGGCCCTTGCAAACAATATGAAAGTAGAGCAACTGATTTGGGAAGTGGTCTTTCTAGATCCTGGTTGGTCACATTTGAGAGAAAGGAAGTTGCCAGAAAAAAACTCTTTTGAGAGGGAAGATGGTTAAAAAGTAATTGTTTTGAAAGAGAAGAAAACGGAGCCAGCTTTTTTGTTTGTTTACAAATATAATGTTAATTATTTGAAAGTCTCTGGGTAACTTTGCTGTTCTGATCAGCCTCAAGAGTCACAGATTTTAAAATGAGCATATCTGCCATGGGCTCTTGCAGACATATCTTGGGTAGAGACCCAGTGTTCCTCTGATGGTGTTCAGGAGAATCTGTTTATTAAATTCAGCAAACCATGGGTGTTTTTATATCAATAGGGGGTGGAAGTGAGAGGAATGGAAAGATACTTTCTTTTTGAGTCTGAATCTGCTAAGACTCAAATATGAGTAGTAAACTGAGAGTTTATAGACACCCAGGGCAAAGCAAGTCAGGCACTTACACACGGCAGAATCATCATTAAGTTTTAAACGGGTTGAAGTGATTCCGAATACAAACACAGATTCTGTATTTGGACTTAACTTTCAGACTCGCTTTTGAGTGTCTAAGCTCAGTTTGCCTAGGGAAGGCTCCAGAATGTCTGCTTTTCTTTAATGACAGTCTTTTGTATTAAAAAAAAAAAAAGGTAGGTATAGCTTTGCTACAGACTTGGCAACTTGTCATTCCCAAATAAGGTCATTGAAAAGCACAAATGCTATCTTTCTTATATCATCATTGCTTTAGCAAAGAGATGTGTAAGAAGATATGACAATATAAATTGGATATAAACATAAAAGTCATTTAGCCATCATAAAAAAGAAAAACATTAGAAAAGTCTCTAGGAAAAATGTCCCACTCTCAGGTGCTCCTACTTTAACTAATCCCATTTTCTCATTTTGTTTCTTCATTTTTTACTCCTTGCTTCTGGCCTTCTTTCCAAACCCCCAAAGCTCCCATATTTCAACCACACTTTCCTTTTCTTTAATACATCAATTTATTTGGGACTTGAATCAGCTCTGGGGAAGGGAGATGGTAGAGGATATAGAGCAGCAAATATTCATTTTACTACTGGAAATAAAGTCCAGGAGGGCAGGGAATCTACCTTATTTTCTAGTTACTGTATGTGTATTTGCAAACTTGCAAACAGGGCTTAGAATGTGTAATCAATATTTATCGAATAAGTCCTACTGATTTGATTTGAAACTGTCTCATTGCTATTTGTTTATCAATAAAATTATGTCAAAAATATTTATCGAATAAAAATACAGGCAAGATATATAATACACAGATTCTACTGTAACACACAAGTTACAAGTTGCTAGTCTTTGCCCTTATTGTAATTAGTGACATTTCAAAAATCACCCTAGAAATATTCTTTCTCTCCCCCTCCTACCTAGGTACCTACCACCAGGCGGAAAGCGTACGTTTTCTTCTGCTTCCTACTTAAGGGTTTCAATGTTTTCATCTATAAAATGAGAGGACTGGAACCCTATAATCTCAAAGCCCTTCTAAAAGCCCACAATTTCATACTTACTAAAAATGATTTTATTGTTTTATATTCCAAATGTAAAAACAGTTTGGCCCTTTCCACGCAGAAATACATTTTAGAAACGCACATCAAGAAATAATTTCAGAGTTTTCAGGACTATATTTTACCTGGGAGAAATGGAGTATTTTAACTTGCTAGATAAACTGATCATTACTTATTTAAATTCCCAAAGAAAAATCTTTGTTTTTACAAACCAACAAAAGACAAAGTTGATTTAAAATAAAGTGACCCAGCAAATCAGTAGGCGTAATCAGAGCGGAAGAGTGAAGATAAATCGAATTAGTTTATTAATAGGCACTGGCCACTCGCCTAGGTAATGGTGAAACCCAAGATCTGCCTTGCTCTCCCAGAACCTGCTCTCCAAAACCCACCATCTTGCTCGTCCCTGAACTCACAGCGGTCTCTTGCCGCCCCCTGCTGGTCATCAAGCGCCTGCCGACTGACGACAAAGGCACGGCCGCCTGGGTCGCCTATCCAAGGACGTCATCGGTATGCGTCGCCAGAGACCGGAAGTTGCCTTCACTTCCGCTCCTCGATCCTTGTTAGGACACCAGAGGCGGAAGTGGGAGACGTCTGTGAGAGCATAGGTACTGGGTGTGTACCTCAGGGATGCTGCTTTATATTGTTTCAAAGCCGGTCGGGATGTTTGAGCTATACAGCCTAGCCTCTTACAGAACTGCGGTTTGGGGATGAAGAGGGAGGGAAGAGCTCATAATGTGGCTTTGATTTTGCAAAACCTACCTGATTCAAATCCTCCACGCTTTAGCTAGCTAACATAAGCTAGCTCGGCGCTGTTTCAGATTGTGTAATTTTAGGAGTAACGTCTACCTTTTACCTTATGGAGGGTTAAGTAAGCCAATGTATATGAAGCATTTAATTCTCATATTTGTGGTTCCACTACTTTTTCTCATCACAGCTGGCATTTTATTTGCCGTTTTCTTCCAGTAGGACTGAGAAATGTTTAGTTTGCAAGAAGTAATGCATCTCACGAAAATACTTGTGTTAGCTAGAATCGATCTTTTATTCCTTTTCACGAATTCCTGATAATATTTTGCCTTTTCTACTATGGCGGCTGCTTAAAAAACAGCTCTTTTTAGCATTTCTGGAGGGATACAAAGTCCTCTTAAGAAAATAAGGTGAGATATCGTTTGCTATAAAGGGCCCCGTACTTCCTTAGCTTGCTGTGTTGAAAGAATACCCGCCGGAATGTGCTACCTAAGGGCCAGTGATTAATCACTATTAAAAGTCCTTTAACAAGGAAATTGTGGTGCATGCAGAGGAAAACACAAATGCTCTGTTATTCCTTAGATTTAACAAGTTACAAGTACAGAGATTTTTCCATGTTTTTGTTAAATTTGAATATTGACCTTTCAGGTAACAGCTTTACTATGTAATGTTATCATGGGCATATTTCTTCATAATAAATTGTATTTGGCCATTTATTTCCTCTGGATAATTTTTCAGAAGGTGGACAAGCTGAGTTAAATGATAATGATCATTTAGAATTATGATGGAGGCCCGATGAGATAGCTCAGTCGAATAAAAAAAAAGCCTGGCAAGCTCAGGGTCCTTAGTTTGATCCCCAGTACTAAAAAAAATAAAATAAAATAAAAAAATAAGGTGATAGACTGCCAAATTTCCTTTCATTAACAGTGTTTTAAGAGGTTTCTTATATTTTTATCAACTGTCAATATTGTTACTGATTTTCGATATAGCAGAGGCTGCTCTGCCATTTGAGAGTCAGTTTTTCATTTTAGTATTATTAAGATTAAATTTTAGGTGCCGGTTTAAAGTCCATTTTTGTTCTCTTTTTTCTCATAAATAAGTTTTAGATTCCTTAGGTACAAATTTTATTTTAAAAAATGATTCACTTCACTAAGTATTTTTAGTTAAAGATTTGAGGGAAGATTGTATTTGTGTGGGACCTCGTTCCATGATGGTACCAGGAAAATGGGCTCTTCTAAAGAAAGGAACAACTTCAGCACAGACCAGGACATTGGAATGGGAAAGAATAGGATCAGAAGTTTGAGGACTGGGCCAGCCAGATAGCTCAGTGGGCTAAAGTACCTGCTTAGAGTGCAGTGGTTGGGGTTCAATCCCCATTGTGCTGTGCCAGCCTTGCCCCTGGGGTGCGCTGAGATGGTGATTGAGACTGGGTGTGTTGGCCTGCACCTGTAATCCAGCGTTTGGGAGGCTGAAAACAGGAGCATCACTACGAGTCCGATCTATGTAGTGAGACCCTGTAGGCCCTGAAGACCCAGTACTGAAAAAAAAAAAAAAAGAAAGAAAAAGCTTGAGAACTAATGCAGCTAGGGAAAAGAATGGCAAAAGAAAAGAGTCAGCTAGGAAAGTGGTTAGAACTAAGTGATGAGGGCTTTAAAAACCTGTCTGAAGTTTCTGGGAGCTACAAAAAGACATTTATCAGTAATGAGGGATGTACTTGTATCTTTGTTTTGTAAGTACCAGGATGGTGGCTGTTTTCTGGTGTTGAAGAGGCAAGGTAGGCAGATGGTAGAGACTGGGTAAAAGAATGTGAAGATATGTAATAATTTGAGATTCCAAAGAGTGGATAGATTGGAGTTAAGAGATACTGAGGAAGCTAAATCTACATGATATGATAAATGGGGGCTTGAGGAGGAGGAAAAAGGCAAAACTCACTTAAGTTTTTTTAATCATAAGTGATTTTTGAGATAATGATATTAATCAGGAAGGCTAGTCAGAGCTCTATGAAAAATACTCAAGTTACATTTTTGGCATGTTAATTTATGTGGAGGACATTTGTGTAAGTTACACACAAAGACGTAAAAATATACTCGTGATTTTGGGGAAACCTTTATAGCTTTATTATTTTTGTTAATCTTGGCGTATGTTCTTACTTCTTTTTTGCACTAGAAATTGAACTCAGGACCTTGGGCTGCCAGGCAGGTGCTGTACCACTGAGGTATGTTCCTGCCCTGTTTTCATTTATTTTTAAATTACCATTGGTAAACCATTGGATGCTCTGTAGTTTGTTCAGCTAATAATCTCAAGATAGTCCATTGTCTAGAGTAGTGGTACTTCAAACTTGTATACACTATTATCAAACATGTTCACAAATGTAGCTCTAATACAAATGTATTAAGTGATTAGTTATGTGCATGTCTTATGGCATGATTATACTATGTACATTACAAAACATGGAATAAGTAGAATTTTTCAAAGGCTAAGACAAGACTGGAGTCTTACAATTTTATAATTTTTTTCCTATATCCTGTTAGGTTATTTTGTACACCTCTTTAGAAACACTTGTTGGATCCTCCCTGACATGAATTTCTGCCCCATTTTCCAGTAGAGGTCATACTTGAGCCTGAGGAGAGCATGTGTTATATAAAAGAGAACCTTCACTGCTTAGTTAGAAGAGGTTCTTATTTTTAATATCTAAATTCATGCAGTTTTGGAGAGTGTGTGATACTAGGTAAAAATGAAGCAGTACCTTAGTAGAATATGGATTAATCTAAAATGTGCTTTTGTTTTTTATGTTTGTTTGCTTTGTGAGTGCTTTGCATTTGAGTTGAATGTTACTTGGTTGTGTAGTTTAAAAAAATTCTCCAATTCTTTGAAACTTTGTAGTTTCTGTGAGCCACAGGAATGTTTCCATTCCTGTGGGCACAATCCAAATTTTTGTTAAAATTGTAGTAATCCAGAGGACAGACGCAAAAGAAGTTTTCTTTGAAATTGATCTTGAAAGCAGATTCAATCCTAAAATGTTGGTGGGTTTGAACTATGTATCTCTATTTTCTATTTTATGGTTAATTAAGAGAAGGGGATAAGGATATTACTCACTATAAGAGCCTGCTTCAGAAATCAGTTAGAGGGGGCCTGGTGAGATGGCTCAATGGTCTAAAGCACCTACTTAGAACAAGCTTAGCAAAGCACAGAGACCGCAGTTCAATCCCCCAGCACCACATGCCAGCCAGCCCTGCCCCCTGGTGGGCTGAGCTGGCCACACACACACAAATAAATAAAAATAAAAAATAAAAAATAAAAAAAAAGAAATCAATTAGAGGTCATGAAGCAAATTTGTCACAGGTATGTATTATAGCAAAGAGAAAGCAATTTTTTTTTAATCCACATGTTACATGTTTCAGACTATAGTTTAGGAACAAATAAATTGTCTAATAGACTCAGTAATGGAACAACACTTTTTTTTATTGATTTTCTCATAAACAGAGTTGCTCATTTCAGGAATGACCTGTGATTACAGTTATATAAGTTCATACATTTTATGGCTCATTTCTATGATCAGGAAAATGAGTTATTAAAGTTTTAGTTACCGCCACAAGTTGGAATTAGTCTTGTGTAATATGATGTTGGGGTGGAGGAGAATGGTAAAAGTAAGATTTTTATGTTTATGTAACTCTTGGTGTAGTGGCACTTAGCTGTAGTACTGGCTACTCAGAAGGCTGAGGCAGGAGGATCACTTGCACATAAGAGTTCAAGCCAACTTGTTCATGTCATGGACTGTGTGAATTAAATATTTTAAGTAAATCTTTTGTCTTCTCTTCATTCCCTTCCCCTCCCCTCTTCTCTCTTTTGTCTTCCCTTCTTCTTTCCACCCCTCCCCAGCTTACCTCTTTTCTCCCCTTCCATTTCTTGCACTGGGATCATACATGCTAATCATGTATTCTACCATCAAGCTATGCCTTCAGGCCCCAAACTAGATCTTTTTGAAGATGAAAATTTCTTTGGAATCACTGCATTATAATGAAGGAGACCATAGGATAAATTGAGTAATAGAAGTCTGTGTAAGGTAAGAGGGTTGTAACACTAGCATGGTTTAAAAGGTTCCATAAATGTTGAAAAAATACTTAGGAGGAAAATTAGGTAGCCTGAGGTATTGTTTTTCAGTGCTAGATTTAGAGTTTGTGAATAGGAGGCTAAAGGCAAGAAAGTCTGCTATCTGTGGGCAGGATGAGGTCAAACATCTCGGAAGTTGGAAGACAAGGCAGAAATGAATGTGTGACTTACTGAGAATAAGCCAAGGGTTTGTAAGCCAGGAGAGAACAGTAGAAATGGAGAGGGCAGCTGATTTGGGGTGGACACGACAGGCTAGGTCAAATAAAAAGAAAGAAAAAAAGCCCTGTTTTTTGTTACATTAAAAGTGGGAGGAGCCCTGGGTCTTCAGGTAACCAAATAAACAATGAGCTTCTGTACTGGAATAGTTGTTTTCTTATAGAAAGGACTGGGATGCTTAGAGAATCAGAATGTGGTCATTTAATTATTTAACACAGGCATTTATATATGTGTTACTTTATGCAGCAATCTGAAAGATCTGGGCTACCTGACCATTATGGCATCAAGAAACCTCTGGCACATGAGAAGTAACTTTCTTTTTGGGTCAAGATACTGGATAATGCAATGTTCAACAGAAATTCTCCTCAAATCCATTTCATTTAGGCCTTTTGGTGTGAAATGTAATAATATAGACAGTGAACCTTCAGAGAATGAAGACCTGCTGAATAACTTACTTATCATGGGAGTTGATATTGACATGGCTAGGAAAAGACAGCCTGGAGTGTTTAATAGGATGGTTACTAATGAACAGGACTTGCAGATGTTCCTTCTCTCCAAAGGAGCTAGCAAAGAAGTGATTGCTAGTATCATATCAAGATATCCACGAGCCATAACACGTACTACTGAAAGTCTTTCAAAACGGTGGGATCTGTGGAGAAAGATTATCACATCAGATCTTGAAATTGTAAATATTCTGGAACGTTCTCCTGAATCCTTTTTTCGGTCAAGGAACAATGAAGACTTAGAGAAAAATATAAGCTACCTTTGTTCAGTTGGATTGACCAGTAAATGCCTCTGTCGATTATTGACCAACGCCCCTCGTACCTTCTCTAATAGTTTTGATTTGAATAAGCAGATGGTTGAATTTTTACATGAAGTATGTTTGTCTTTGGGTTATAATGACCCCTCAGATTTTGTGAGAAAGATAATTTTCAAAAACCCTTTCATCTTAATTCAGAGCACCAAACGAGTGAAAGCTAATATTGAATTTTTACAATCAACTTTCACATTGAACAAGGAAGAACTACTAGTTCTGATATGTGGTTCAGGAGCTGGAATCTTAGACCTTTCCAATGATTATGTAAAAAGAAACTACAAAAATATCAAAGAGAAGCTGTTTTCCTTGGAATGTACTGAAGAGGAGGTACAGAAGTTTGTCTTAAGCTATCCAGATATGATCTTCTTGGCAGAGAAAAAGTTTAATGATAAAATAGATTGCCTCATAACAGAAAAAATTGGTATTTCACAAATAATTGAAAATCCTCGAGTTCTAGATTCAAGCATAAATACCTTAAAAAGTCGAATCAAAGAATTGGTACATGCTGGTTATGACTTGAGTACATCAAACATCACTATTCTGTCTTGGAGTCAAAAAAGATATCAAGCTAAACTAAAAAAATTAAAACAGCAGTTGGGGCTTAACTCTTAAATAGTAGTATTTATTTTTTGATGTATCAAAGGAGGATTTTGATTTCTTAACCATTGATGTATGTATAATGATTGTTTGGATATTTTGGCTTAAAGTTTGTAGAAACTCATAGTTGGTATGATGGAGTTACTTCTCCAAGCTACTGCTACTCCAGTTTGAACTAATGTCCTGTTATGTAGGCTGCAACTGCTGTGCAGGGTGATAGTTCCTAAGTGCTGTACAGAACAGTATAAAAAGACAACAACAATAACAACAAATTGACAGATTCATTGGGGTAATTCTGTTGTCTGTCATGGTTTGAATGACATTCCATTTTATTCCAGCATATCAAATTAGAGTTCATCCTAAAAATAAAATGTAAAAGCAATAAAAATCTAACAGGAGGATTTTTTAAAATGTAATTACAAGTTCCATATTTTCCATTTAAACCATTACTGCGATGTTATACCTCTTCCCTAAACCCCATAATTTACAAATCGTATGCTCGTATTCCTTTGAAGACAAGGACACCTGTGGTGGGTTTTAGAATGGACACCTAAAAGATGTTAATGTCTAGTTCAGCTGTGAATATGTCATGTTACACTGTAGTGGACTTTATAGAAGTGATGAAGCTAAAACGTGATTAGTGAAGGCCCTTGAGAAGGGAAGAGCATCTTAAATTATTTGAGTGGGCCCAATATAATTATAGGATCCTTAAAAGTGAGAAGGGAAACACCACAGGCATGTTATAAGAATGACTTGGTGACTTTTGCTGGCTATGAAGGACAAAAGGGCTGTGAAACAAGGAAATGTGGGTAGTTTATGAAAGGCAAGGAACAGATAGCCTTCCTTTAAGCCCTCCCAAAATGAGGGCAGCTTCACTGGCACCTTGATGTTAGCTCAGTGAGGTCACTATGAAACTTCTGATCTGTAGAACCATAAGAATGGATTTATGTTGTTTTAAACCATTGAGTTTATGATAAGCTGTAATAGCAAATAGCTTGGTATTTTGTCTCACTACAGGTGAAGAAAGCACAAAGTGCAGTCCTTATTGCATTGTTTCTCTATTTCTGTATTTCTGTGTTCAGTTTCTTATATGAGTAATGACATTTTTAAAAGAAATAAACTACTCTTCTGGAATTTCTAACAAGTTAGTATTTGGGGCCAGGGAGATGGCTTAGTAGAATAAGCGCTTCCCTGGCAAGTGGAAGGATCTGGGTTCAGTCCCCGGTTCTGCCAAAAAACAAAACAAAAACCCGAAGTTAGTATTTATGAAGCTCTCTAGAGATGAACAAAAAACTAAGTATGAGTAGTAACATTAAATAAAGCAATTTTTTGCCTAATAAGTATAACAAATGCTCATAATTTCTGTATATATTTTGTTGGCATTTCATCTAATCTAAAGTAAGAAGTGAAGAATTTTAGAGATACTGAATTGAATGAGATCACAGCTATATCATCCATCAGTTTGTATCATTGATTGATATTCAAAGTGTTTGTTTTTTCCAAGGCCATTTATGTATGTCCAGTAATATAATTACTTCCAGCTCTCCCGACTTTTAACACCATCTTCTTAGAAACCTCTGCGCCATGAGAGCCAAGTGGAGGAAGAAGTGAATATGCAGACTGAAGGGTAAAAGAAGAAAGATGAGACAGAGGTCCAAGTAAAATAGCTTGTACACCCACGGAGGCCAAAAGAAGAGAAAGAATGCTGGAGGCTGACAGTGCTGGTGCAAGTTTTGGACTACATGCTGTCCAAATGTCTCAATGGATTAGAACTTCATTGCCATCTGATTGCCAAGACTACCTCAAAGAGAGATCCACCTCGTTCAAACTAAGCAGTCTTCTGTTTTTTTGCCCTGGGCCTGTGGCATTCTGGACTACTTCGGTCCTTACTTTTGGTTGAGTATAAAGCATGTACAATAAATCATGTCTTCTGTGTTAGCTGAAGAATAAAAAAAAAAAAAATTCCAGTGAGCTATTTAATGACAAGGGTGGCACACTTTAGAAAATTTGGGCTGTATAGAAACATTTTCTTGAGTGCTATAGCTGGGCACCATTTCTGATTAATTGTATTTTGTGTGAATGTTTTAAGTGAATTGTTTTCAATGATATTTAATTAATGATAGCTTAAGAAGAAAAAGTTTTTAAAAAAGTTTTTATGGGGCCGGGGAGATGGCTCAGTGGAATAAGCACTTGCCTGGCAAGCGCAAGGGCCTGAGTTTAATCCCTGGTTCCACCAAAAAAAAAAAAAAAAAAAAAAAAAAAGTTTTATGGGTAAGGGGCCAGGGAGATGGCTCAGTAGGATAAGCGCTTGACTGGCAAATGCAAGGATCTGAGTTCAATCCCCAGTTCCGCCACAAAAAAAAAAAAAGTTTTATGGGTATATAATTCACGTATTATCAATCTACTCAAAGATACAATTTAATTTTTTAAAATCATAGTATGTAACCATTGCTACAACCTAATTTTAGAATATGTGCTCCCTAAAATAAAACCTATACCCATTAGCAGCCATTATTCCTTTCCTATCCTTGAAATATCCCTGAAACCCTAAGCAAAAACTGATCTTTTTGTCTCTAAACTGTATTATTCTGGATATTTCATATAAATGATATAATACAATATGTGGCTTTTTGGTTGACCTCTTTCTTATAATTTTTTTTTTTTTTCGGAACCAGGGATTGAACTCAGGTCCTTGAGCTTACCAGGCAAGTGCTTATTCCACTGAGCTATCTCCCCGACCCTATCTTATAATGTTTTTCAAGGTTTATTCATGTAGCACATACCAGCATTTTTATTGTTAAATAATCCATTGTATGGTTTCAGTAGGGTTATTGGGGTTGTATTTTATTGTTTTGTCTTGAAACTAATCATTAATTCACTAAGCCTTCTTAATTGTATGGAAATGCTTTCCAAGATACTACTTTGGATTCTAATGAATTATAGAACTTGATAGGAATGTGAGGGGAAAGAAAAGTTTATTGGCATCAGTGAATCAAGAGAATTTTTCCTGGACTGGCATAAATGACGTAGCAGTCATAGTTGTATGTGCCCAAAGAGAATGCAGGAAGAACGTGCAGTACGATCATTGAGTAGTTGAATGTGGAGCGATTTAACTTTATAGAAGAAGTGAGTGGATAATGCTAGTTGGACACAGTTAACATGAAATACTTTTAAGGTTTGAGTAATGTTTGTCATAGTGAAAGGAAGACCATGTTTTTAGTCGGGGGGGGGGAATAAAGGAAAATCATCAAAAAGCAAAAAAATTGGATAATCTGTGAGACAACATTTTGTTAACAACTACTTCTTCTTCTTCTTCTTCTTCTTCTTCTTCTTCTTCTTCTTCTTCTTCTTCTTCTTCT